CCAGGGACTGTTTATGGAACAGACCATCAATTGCACATATACAAGTTCAGCTTGAAGAAAATTGAAATAAGTCCAAAAAAGTCAAAATATGACTTTGAACATATCACATTGAATTTAGAGACCATTTCAAGAACAGATTTGATGAATTAGGCACTAATGACTAAAGGCAAGAAGAAATGGTCGATGTTCCACCATTTTAAGAAGTACCATATGATTAAGAGCCAATAGTACTGAAGGAAGAAGTCCAAGTTGCGCTGAGGCATTGGTGAAAAACAAGGCTGTAGAAATTGATAGACTACAAATTGAAAACTTTCAACAAACTGATGTAGTACTAGAGTCGCTCACTCAACTACACCTTAAAATTTGGAAAAATTTTAGCCAACCAATTGTAAGAGATCCATATTAGTGACCATTCCAGCAAAAGGTTACCCAAAGGAATGTGGAAATCACTGAACAATATCATTAATACCACATGTAAGTAAAACTTTGAAGATATTTAAAAATAATTGCAGCACTACATTGACAAGGAACTACCAGAAATTCAAGTTGGATTCAGCAGAGTACTTGGATACTATTGCTGATGACAAATCTAGTTGAAAACAGAGAATATCAGAAAGATATTTACTTTATTGACTATACAAACACATTTGACTGTGTGAATGATAATAAACCATGTTTGACATTGTGACAAATTGGAAATCCAGAACACTTAATTTTGTTCATAAAGAACCTACACAAAACAAGAGACACTGAATGGTTTAAAATCAGGAAAGGTATGCGTTAGGGTTGTACCCTTTCACCACATTTATTTAATCTGTATACTGAACAAATAATCCAAGAGGCTAGATTATATGAAGAAGAATGTAGCATCAGGATTGGAGAAAACTCATCAACAATCTGCTATATGCCGATGGCACGACCTTGCTGTTTGGAAGCCAAGAGGACTTTAAATACTTAATAAAGATCGAAGTCTACAGCCTTAAATATGGAATGTACCTCAATGTAAAGAAAGCAAAAATCATCACAAACGGACCAAAAAATAATAATATAATAAACAGAGCAAAGACTAAAGTTATCAAAGGGTTCATTTTGCCTGGACCCACAATCTACATCATTTGCCATCTACAGAAAGGTATTTTAAGACTTTGCGACTATCCTGATCCTCATTTAAATATCTTTCAAGATTTAACTTCCACTGGTGCTTTGTACCAGTTCCAATCTTTACTGTGGTAGTTGAAATAAATTTTCTTCAACTACATGTTACTGATTTCTATGTAGTGAGCTTGTATCTTGCAACTTTAATTATAATTGTTGTTAAGTGTCATGGAGTTGGTTCTGACTCATAGCAACCTTGTATAGGGTTTCCAAGGAGCAGCTCATGGGTTTGAAATGCCACCTTGTGGTAGTTGGCGGTCCAGCGTTTATGCTACAGCACAACACCAGGACTATGAGCAGGTATAAATGCCCAGATTTTCCCAAGTACATATTCATATTGTGGTCCTTTAATTAAATATTCCACGAAAGAGTAAATTCTTTTTTTTAATGTTTTATTGTGAATTATATGATAGTTTACATGGGAGAACATTAGTTTTACATTCATTCTATTGTATATATCATCTCATTGCCATGGTTACAATCCCCTCCATGCATCATCAACCAACCAAAGGGTATACCCTGCAATCCTGCCCCTGTACCCCCCAGGTCTTCAGCACACAGTGGCTCTCCCTCTCTGGATCTAAAGTCTACAGCTGCTCTATCGCTCCACGTCATCATCTCTGCCTCCATCTCAGGCATCACTGCTTCTCTGGGTAGTGTCCCGCTCTCCACTCTTCTCCGTTGATGGTCCTAGGGACCTCCCTTCCTAGACTGGAAAGTTAATCACTCCCCTCCTTGCTATAAAACATCTACCTTTGCATTTCCGACCCTCACAATCAGTCCTGTTAACAATTATTCACTATTGTATCACAAGATACCCGTCTGCATTTCATTGCATCAGCCCCGCCTAGTCAGACTGACTACTACTCACTGGAGATTCAACCTTCCTCCAGGCCCTCTGGATCTAGGTTCCCTCTTGAAAGCTTGTAAGCCAGTCACTTCTTGCCTTTGTAGCCCCCCACCCCCCATTTTGGGTAGCCAATGTCCAAGTTGCCCATCCCTGTCTACTCTGTGTGTGGAGGGGGTGGGAATGATTCTTGCTGTAAGGACTTGTTCCCTCTTTTGAGCTACTGCTTCCATAGGTGTAGGTCAAGTTCATCAAATTGTATGAGAATACTTTTTTTTTTTCCTCTTCTTTTTACGAAAGGGTAAATTCTTAAGCTTACCAAAATAGTTTTAAATTCCTAGTACTCAGATATTCCACTTTCTCTTTTCAAGTAATTATGTGTTTTTTGTTTTTTAAGGTTTTTATGTGGATTGAGTGAAAGTTTACAGGGCAGATCATCAGTTTTACAAGAAACAAATCATACACCTTTTTTCATTACAGTGATTATAATCCCCTCCATGTACCATCAATTAACAATAGTTCTCTTTATTCATTTTAGCGACTTTTTTTTTTTTTTTAACACTCAGGCATATATAATAATTTAAACCACCAAAGGGCACATTCTGCAAGTCTGCCTCCTGGCTGCCATCTCTTAGCCCCTCTTTTGCCATGAATCTAGAGTCCTCAGCTGCTTTCTTTCTCCATGTCCCCATCTCTGCATCCATCTCTGGTGTCGCTGCTTCTCTGGATAAAGTCTCACATTCCACTTGTGCTCTTCACCTTGATGGTCCTAGGTTCCTTTGTTTCTGGACTGTAAGATTAACTACGCCCCTGTTTTTGTTACAAAACTTCTACCTTTACCATTGTGACAGTCACAATTAGTTATGATAACAATTACTCACTATTGAATCATAAGAATCTTATCCCCATCTCTTTTCACCAGACCCATCTAGACAAAATGAAAACTGATATTCAGTGGGGATTTTCTTCCCCACACACTATTAAACTAAATTCCTCCTTGAAACCTTGTAAGTCAGTCACTTAGTGCCTTTATTGCCCCTTCATTTTAGGTAGCTAATGTCTAAGTTGCCCATCCATATCTACCCATGTATAGAGGGGCTAGCATTGATACTTGATGTGAAGACTCCTTCCATCTCTGTTGGTATTTAGAATTACTACCTCCATGAGCATAGGTCAAGTTCATCAAATTGTAGCAATTTACCCTCATTTCCTTTATCAAAAATAGTTTTGTTTTGTTTATATCTTCCTCTAGTCAGGTTCTGATTATCAAGCCATCGAGGCTAGGTCAAATGGGTACTATCTGCAATTCTGAATGTTCTTGTGTGCCTCCTCTCACTTCATATCAGCTGGATGCTTCACTCTCAGCTATCCAGCTATGTGTTTTTTAATTACATTTTATCCAGCTGGTCAAGTGATTTGTAGCAGGAAGGCAATCTGCAACTGCTAACTACCATGGTGCAGAAAGCAATGTCTAGTTCAGTGTTATTAAAAAAATGTTGGTCTTAGGCAAGACAGAGTATGCAGCACATCATGTAAATTACACACTATTTCCTTTGTTGAGAAAGTTTAATGCGAAAAAAAAAGTTAGCTTATCTAAAAAAGTAATAAAAGTGCTTAGTAATAAAACTGGTTTACATTATTACACAAGCTTCTTACCCACAATTCATACATTACATTTTGAGTAGCAGAGTTTAGATGGCTTCAATTTGTAAAGGAAATTCCAAGCAATTCCATGTGGCTCAGGTAATGTCCCATGTAACAAGAAACAATTGAACACTATCTATTAGTGGCTAATACTAGTTGTCCTGGTGTGGCACTTTGGGTTAATGCTCTGGACTGCAAAGTCAGTTTGAACCACAAGGTCAGCAATTCAAGTTCACCAGTCACTCCTTGGAAACCCAATACAGGGTCTCCATGGGTGGAAACCAACTTGATGACACTTAACAACAGCAACAATACTAGTATGGAGCCTGGTGTGATGCTGTAGGATAAAGCACTGGACCACAAGGTTGATTTGAACCACAAGGTTGGCCGTTCAAACTCTGCTCCTTGGAAACACTACACCAGATTGCTATGAATCAGAACTGACGCAACAGTACTTAACAACAACAATGATAAGTATAAAATGTAGATGAGCTGTTTGGGGAAGACATAAATCTCAAAATTAATTCTTATCTATTAAAGAAAAAAATGCATTTTCTACATAATTATTTATACTAAGACCCTCCATGCTTCCCGTTCTACTAGAGCTAAAATTCTAATCATCAGAAGTAGTGAGAATGAGGAAATTCTTTTATTCCATTGAATACAGTTGAATTATTTGTAAAAGCGATTTTAAAACCACATAAATCAACTTATCTTTAGTAGTTTAAGTAAATAAAAAGAATTTTTGTCATAATCATTAAAAATTAAGTACACAGTCATACTCAATAAATTAAATAAAGTTTTTATTTTTTTTAATCTTCAACTACAATAAACATAAATTATTTTTATTAGAAAATATTCATGTTACAAAAATTTTAAATAAATAAAGTGCTGCCACAAAATTTCAACATAATATACAATTACCTATTTCTATATAATGGTCAGTTAAGGAAAAGATGGCAGGAATGATACTATCAACAAAAGAAACAGAAGAAGGAGAAAAGAAAGAAAGGAACACCAGAGAGAATGAGTAAAGAAGACAGAAAAAGGCTTTGCTGACTGAGTTAATTACACACGGCCACCAAGGTGAAATATCCTTTAACTGAAGCACTATGATTAAGAAAATATGATCTTGATTATTTTATTTCTATTGTGTTTTCAATCCAAAGATAAAGACAATGCTCAAATTCCTTACATATAGCACCATCAGCAAGTTTTCAATCTCTGATTCTGGACCTGAAAATCACAGAGCTGTGGTCTTGACCTTGGATGGAAGAGCATTCATTCCCACTTGTGTACATCTATAACATGAGTGCTATAGAGAGCATGGTGCCTGGCAGTCCTGCTTCCATCACTACCAAGAAGGCTCAAAGATAATGTTCAACTCAGGCTTTTTTTCTTGAAGTTTTTCCAATGCATATTTTGTCTCATAGTTGAAATACATTTTACACAACCTGTGGGTGCAATTAGAAAACCTGGGATTTACTATTTAAGAAAATTTCTACAGCTTTTTCCCCTCAAGAATATTATTTCAATTCCCTTAACTCCATATACCTCTAAGTCCTGAAATTGTGTGCTGTTACATGTGCAATTAAAAAAAAAAAAATTTCATTATGAATTAAGTGAAGTGTTACAGAGCAGATCAGTTTTCCATTCAACAATTCATACACATTTTGTTTGTCAGTTATTGCAATCCCCATAATGTAATTTTACTTATCCCACTTTCTCCCTGTGCTTTTCATTTCTATTTCCCTTCTCTCCTACCTCTCTCCTGCCTTCCGAACTTTGTGGTTAGATAAATGTTATCCTTTTGATCTTAAATGGTTGATTAATCTAAGGATGATACCTCCCTAGTGCTTGAACAGTTGGGTTAATTCTGTTCCATGCCTAAAGGATGACTAAGGACTATAGCCTCAGGAGTTCCACCAGTTTCTAACCAACAAGCCTGGTCTTCTTTTTACATATGCAAGATAGTTTTTATTTTGGAAAATTTTAAATGTATGTAAAGATATAAAAATTAATATAATAAATTTCCATGTGCTAATTATCCAGCTTCAACAACTATTTTTAACCAATCTTATTTCATCTATGACACATCCAATCAATGAATTATTTCAAAGATACACTATACACATGTAAATATAAATATTTCACTATGTAACATTAGATTAAAGGAACTTTTTTAAAACATACCACAATGTCATTAGCACATCTAAAAAAAAGTTAGCAGAAATTCCTTACTATAATCGTATATCCAGTCAACATTTAAATTTCCTTTATTTTCCCTTGTAACTTTTTTACACTATGTTCATTTAATCAAAATCCATATAAAGTTTTTACATTGCAACTAGGTGACATGCCTCCTACATCTTCTTTGGTATGCATTCTGTTTCCTTTTCTGAAATTTTTCTTGCAGTTTAACTATTAAATAAATCAGGTCATTTTTTATATATAGTTTTTAACTGTCATGGTTTGGTTGATTGTTTAAACTAACAGAAACTATGAGACTAATGAGATAGCCCTTAGTACAGAAATCATGAATACCTTGGTAGTATTGTGGTTGACTAAAAAGAAGCAGATAGGCTAAATTTTTTGAAATTTTTTTATCTTAATGCTTCAAGAGTACTCTTTCTCACTTAGGAAATCTCAGAAACAAGGCCAACAGGACTGGTAGTACATTAAGACATTTTCAATTGAAATTAATTAAAGACTTGTTGAGTTCTACAAAGTACAATCCTTTCCATTGAACTATAATTCTATTTGATCCGTTTCATTAGGACTATACTTCTTTGGGGAATATGGAGAGAAAATCATTTCACATCCAACTGAACCTAGATTATTCTGGGATATCTGGATGGAGTGACATACAGTTTATAATGCATGCGCCTTCCAAACAAAAACAAAAACAAAAAACTGCACTTACTGGCTAAAGCACAACCAAACATTGAATGAAAATGAAGTCAAAGCCCTCCTGGATTTTAGTGACTGATCAATGTTTTCCTTAGAACTCTGAACCCTACTGCACAAAGTTTTCCAAAGCACTTACTGCAGGCTATTCAGAAGACAGCTCTGCTCTTTGAGTACTTCACAGAGAAGCATGACACCCAGATCACCCAGGTCATTGTCGCCCAGGCTCAGCTCTCGCAGGCTTTGGTTACCAGTCAAAACTGTAGACAGATGCCAGCAGCAATGTGAGGTAAGACTGCAGTTGTCTAGTCTGCAAGAAAGAGGGTGCATAAAGAAATTGTTCCCTTAACTCTCATCCCAGGTCTTCCAGAACTTAGCTTGTAACATTTAGAACACAAATAGTAGACAATTTATGGGACAACTTTATATGTCAATGATTATTTTTCTTTCCTTTTTAGATGGACTTTTTTTCAAGTCTATTGGATTGTGTATATCAAATTAATAACAAATTAGTAATTATTTATTAATTGATTTTCCCAAATCTATGTCTTTCCCAAATATTCCTAAAACACTAGTTGTATATTTCCCCACTCTTTGTGTAGAAAGGAATAAGCTGAAAAAAAAAAAAACTTGAGATTCTATCTTTAGACCATCTAGTAGAATTCTTCCCAGTCCCGTGATCCTCTTTTAAACCAAACACTTGAAAGATACCATCACTTCTCAAAAACTAGGTGGCTTCAACAAGTTCATGGAAAAATAAAAGATAACAGAATTTTCCATGAGTTTTATTAAGCCCCCTCATAATGCCCTTCTCCCAAATTTTCCTCCACTCTCAGCTGCCACATATCCCCATCACCATAATAAGCCAACAAACTTACTCTAACATTTGAACTTTGCAGTTGGGGTTCATGAGTCCTTCACAGAGTATCTTGATCCCTTTGTCTCCAAGAGCATTGTCCCTTAGGTAAAGGTGCGTGAGGTTCTGGTTAGTGCTGAGTGCCAAGGACAGAGCTGGACAACAAACTGATGTAAGGCCAGAATTTACCAATCTGTCAGAAGGATTAGAGAAGAGTCCTCAATATCCAGCCTTCCCTAAAAACACAGCAACTTTTGCAACTATTTCTTCCAGAAAGCCATCCCAGGTAAACCATAATCAGTAATTCCCACTAACATTGCAGATTGCAAAATCATGTCTTATTTGATTCTTACCTCAAACTGGTAAGGCAGGCAGCACAGTTTTAACTATTACACATATTTAAAAGATTATAAATCTGAAGTTCACAAAATCATGTATGTTTCTCAAGGTCAAAGATCCAACATATGGTGCAGAGTTGTTAGAAAGGGTGAAAGAGCAGTTCTTATAAAGATTAACTCAATGATTCTAAATGGAATGGGGGTGTGTTTGGAGCAAAGACAGATGTAACCTCATCTGGGTCTGCGTCAAAGAAATGCTGTGGGCTGAGTTAAGGTATATCACCTTCATTCTAACTTCAAAGAAGAACATTGGGAAAGTTTTGATCAAGGGTTCATTTTCAAATTTCAGTTTGGTGGTGTAGTGAATTATTTAATATGTCTCTTCTTTGTTGTTATTGTTAAGTTCTGTCAAGTCAGTTCCAATTCATAACAACCCTATGTACAACAAAACAAAACACTGCCCAGTCCTGCGCCATCCTCACAATTGATTGAGCCCATTGTTGCTGCCATTGTGTCAATCCATCTCGTTGGGTGTCTCCATCTTCTTCTCTGTCCCTCCACTTTACCAAGCATAATATCCTTCTCCATGTACTGCTCTGTCCTGATGATATGTCCAAAGTATGAGAGATGAAGTCTGGCCACCTAGCCTCTAAAGAGCATCCTAGTTGTACTTCCTCCTAACACAAATCTGTTTGTTCTTCTGGCAGTATCATGGTACTTTTAATTTTCTTCTTCAACACCATAACTCAGGTACATCAATTCTTCTACAGTCTTTCTTATTCACTGTCCAATGTTCACATACAACTACTGAAAATGCCACAGGTTGGGTTAGACACACTTTAGTCCTTAAACTGACATCTTTGTTCCTGAACACTTTAAAAAGATCTTGTGCAACAGATTTGCCTAATTCATTTGATTTCTTGACTGCTACTTCCTGAATGTTAATGATGGATCCAAGCAAAGTGAAGTCTTTTACAACTTTAATCCTTTCTCCATTTATTGTGATGTTATTTATTGGTCCAATTGTGAGAATTTTTGTTTTTTTACAATGCGGTGCAACCCATACTAATATTCATCAGTAAGTTTTTTGGTTTTCTTAAAAGTTTTTATTGTGACTTGAGTAAGTGAAGGTTTATAGGGCAGATCATCAGGATTTTTGTTGTTTTTTTGTTTGTTTGTTTTTTAATATACAATTGTTTAAATAAACAAAAGGTACATTCTGCAAGCCAGCCTCTAGGCCACCAGCACACAGCCTTTCTCTTTCCATGAGTCTAGAGTCCTCAGCTGCTCTCTCTCTCTCTCTATGCCGTCACCTCTGCCTCCATCTGTGGTGTTGCTACATCTCTGGTTAGTGTCCCACATTCCACTCATGCTCTTCTCTCTTGATGGTCCTAGGGTCCTCTGTTGCTGGAATGTAAGAGTAACAACTCCCCCTTTTTGTTACACAGTAAGTATTTTAAGTCCTCTTCACTGTCAGCAAGCAAGGTTATTTCATCTGCACATCATAGGTTATTATATCATGAGCCTTCCTCCAATCCTGATGCCTTGTTCTTCTTCATATAATCAATTTTATCAGATTCTTTGCTCAGCACACAGATTGAATAAGTATGGTAAAAGAATTCAACCCTGATGCTCCACTTTCATGATTTTAAACCATTCGGGGTCCTCTTGTTCTGTTCGAACAATTGCTATTTGGTATTTGAACAGGTTCCTCATGAGCACAATTAAGTGTTCCTGAATACTCATTCTTTGCATGTTATCCATAACTTATTATGATCCACAGAGTCCAAAGCCTTTGTATACTAAATAAATCACAGGTAAACATCTTTCTGGTAGTCTCTGCTTTCAACCAAAATCTATCTGAAATCAACAATGATATCCTTCATTCCATGTCCTCATCTGAATCTGGCTTGAACCTCTACCAATTCCCTGTCAATGTACTGTTGCAATCATTTTTTAATTATCTTCAGCAAAATTTTACTTGAATGTCATATTAATGATACCATCCAATGATTTCCAAATTCTGTTAGGTCATCTCTCTCTGGAATAGGCACAAATATTGACCTATTCCAATCAGTTGACCTGGTAGCTATCTTCCGAATTTCTTCGCATAGATTAGTGAGTACCTTCATGATGAATCAGTTTATTGAAAGATTTCAGTTTGTATTCTATCAATTCCTGGAGCTTTGTTCTTTGCCAATGCTTTCAGTGCACATTAGATTTCTTCCTTCAGTACCATTGGCTCTTGATCATATACTATCTCTTGAGATGGTTGAACATCAACAATCAGAAGACCCGAGGACCATCAAGAGAGAAGAGCATGAATTTTGATACAGTAACTCTATGTATTCCTTCCATCTTCTTTTGATGATTGCTACATTATATTCAATATCTTGTCAAAGAATCCTTCAGTATTGCAAATTGAGGTTTGAAATGTTTTCCTCAGTTCTTTCAGCTTCATAAATGCTGAATGTGTCCTTCTCTTTTGGTTTTCTAACTCCAAATCTTTGCACATTTAATTATAATATTGGACTCTGTCTTCTGGAGCTGCCCTTTGAAATTTTCTCTTCAGCTATTTTATCTCCTCAATTCTTCCATTTCCTTTAGCATCTCTATGCTAGACAGTAAGTTTCAGAGTCTCTTCTAATATTCACTTTGGTCTTTTCTTTATTCCTTGTCTTCTTAATGACCGTTTTCTTTTTTTCCTGTGTGACATTCTTAATGCCATACCAAACTCTTCAGGTTTACAGTCATTAGTGCATAATGCATCAAATCTGTTCTTGAGATGATCTCTAAATTCATGTAGGATAAGTTCAAGGTTACAGTGACAGCAGCAGTGGACTCTAGATTATCAACGATTGTGAGATTGGCTGGGCAGTATTTCATTCTGCTGTGCATAAGGTTACTATGAGTTAGTACCAACTCAACAGCACCTAACGACAACAACAACAACAATGTTACAGGTCATCTTTTGGTCTCATGGACTTGTTTTAACTTTTTTTTATCTTCAGTCTGAACTTGCATATGAACAATTGATGTTCTGTTCCACAGTCTGCCTCTGGCCTTGTTTTGGCTAATGATATGGAATTTTTCTACTGTCTCTTTCCACATATGGAGTCAATTTGATTTCTTTGTATTCCATCTGGTGACATCTATGTGTATAATCAGTTTTTGTGTTGTTTAAAAAAAGGTATTTGCAATTAATCAAGTTATTGGTCTTGCAAAATTCTATCATACGATTTCCAGCATTTCTATCACCAAAGCTGTATTTTCCAACTACTGATCCTTCCTCTTTGTTTCCAACCTTTACATTCCAATCACTAGCAATTATCAATACATCTTGATTGCATGTTTGACCAATTTCGTCACCACTGACTTTTGCAGTTGATGCATAAATTTGAATAATAGTGATATTAACTATTATATCTGGTCTTCTTTGTAGGCATATGGATATTATCCTATCTTTTCCATACTTACCCTTTGTAATTCCCACCAAAAAACTGTTTTCCTGATGTGTTTGGGTAAGAAAAGATGGGTAAAGATACTGATGAGATATGATTTAGTTGTGAATGGTTATTAACAGAGTTCACTGTGATTGTAAAAACTTAGAACTTTAACATGGGCATAAAATGAACCATCTCAGAAGGGTGGGGGAATTTCAATACAATCAAGGAAGAAGAGAAAGGCATAGAGCCTGTCCTTTGGACCCCGAGATCCCTGTACCTCCTTGACCAAGGAGCAGAAAGTTGTAACATCAGAGGAGTAACAGAGGAGGAGCAAACAGCAGAACCAAGAGCCAGAGCATGAAACAGAAGCGTGGACTTACTGGCCCACAGATTAAATAAAGCTAAGTGCCTTTAGACCAGAGACTTGCTGCAGAGTGGGATATCTCCAAGTATTTTATTGAGGGAACAAAGTTTGCTGATCTATGGAACTACAGCTCAGCACCTTCACAGTGAGGTTTAAGGTGAAGTGGTATGCTCTGTGTATATTTTTATCAGCAATCCTAAAAGAACTTTGTAACACTGTAAGAGCAGGGAACAGGCCAGATCAAAAGGTCAAGGGCCAGAGAGATGTCTATATGTGGACAAAGAAGAGGAAATGCTCTCCTGACTGGAAGAACTGTGCCCTGAGCATTTTCTGATCCTTTATTGTTACCTGTTAAGTTTCATAATAAATTCTATAATTGTAAATAGGGTGTTGGAGTTCTGTGTGTCCATTGCAATGAATTTTTTAACCCAAATGAGAAGTAGAGAGTGCTGTGAGAGAGATGATTAGAGCCATATTTCACAGAGTGCCAAAGCAGTTCTTATTAGTAAGGCCTCTGGTAACGTGGTGGATAAGAATCAGGCTGCTAACCTCAAGGTCAGCAGTTCAAAACTACCAGCTGTTCCACAGGAGAAAGATGAAGTTTTCTGCTCCCGTAAAGATTTACAGCGTCGGAAACCCTGAACAGGGTTGCTATGAGTCAGAACTGACTCCACGGCACATAACAACAACAACAACAACAATTCAAGATTATTCAAAATGGAGTAGAAGATGTGATAGAAGCATGGACAGGAGCAGCTCCAGCTTGGGGTGGGTCAAAGAAATACTGTGTACTGAGGTGATACTGTGTACTGAAGTATATCAACTTCACTCTGACTTCAAAGAACTTTGGAAATTTTTGAGCAAAGGATCATTTTCAAATTTTCAGTTTCAGAAGATTCTGCTGATGAAATAAATGTGAGAAGGGAAGAGAACTGAAAGTAAAGAGAATAAAGTGCCCTCTTGTTATTGCTGGACAGTCCCCTGGAAAGTCCCACTATTGAACAAAACAGGAAAAAGAGGGCAGAAACAGGTCAAGGAATGTGGG